TTTTGGATTGCCATCATTGCCATTCTTATTATTTCCGCCGGTATTATGTTAAAAAGTCCGTCTGGACCTTCGTTCAGCAAGGGAGGTTTTTTCCGGCTCGACGGTTTAGTTTTTTTTTCTAAGCATCAATTAAAATAGCTTGGATATCCAATTAGAGACGTAAAGTAAGAAGATCGATTATTTCCAACAGGTTTTTCCAAGATTTGATTCAACCCAGTTCTGAAGCCAAACTGATACGATCCAATCAATTTATTGACGTTCATAGTTAATCTAACATACAAAAATACAGGGGATTCCAATTAGTGGTGTAATTTTGATATTAAAAGAAACTTTTCCTTTGAAAGATCAATGGTTTCGTTGCTTGTTGTCTTGTTGAAGGTTTACTTTGTCCCTCAATAGCGCAACCCATTCACCGTAACTGTTGTTCCAGCTTCATTTTCGAATATGTACGGTCCAATGACGCCCGGCTTTTCAACAATAAATCTTTGGTTTTCCGAGATTCGAGGTTAAAATGGGCATCATCAGTTGAGATGATTTTTCGATGAAATTTTCATTGTGAATTTTTATAATTTCAGCTCGTGACTCTTGCCACTTAATTATTCTTTACACGAGTAATTGCAATTCGGGCTTCCTAATAGCTGTAGAGGCTTGCGGCCCCCAGCAGGCTGGTGATAACTTCCCTCCATAAACTCATTATACACTCAGCATAAGTCATCAGTTCGGGATTTCGGTTTAACATGAATAATCTTCGGACTTTAAACCTACTGTAATGACTTAACAGAAGAAGATGATGTTGATCATCGGTAGTATTCGGCATTCCTAATCGGACCTGCTCTACTTCCCATATTGTCGAAAACTGGTAGCTTTGTTGGCAGTTGTACGTAAAAACTTGAAATTCCTTTTCGTAGCTCGAATGCTCTCAGACAGCCGGAGTGCAAGTCAAGTAGAAAACCGATAATTATCTGTCATTGAACTAGTTTGATGACTGGTTACTACCGCTGTTTGTGTGATTTATTTTAATTTAAGTAAATTTAATTAAATACAATTTTTTATCGTCTGCTATTTCGTCTGACAGCCAGCCGGCTGCGTGCCAAAAATGTCAGCATTTCTCAAAATTAAAAAATTAAAAATAAAAAAAAATTCAGTACCACTACAAAGAAAACCAAAAAACCGTAAAAAGCAAGCAAAACATTGCGCAGCATAAGGTGGACACAGGTCAAAAGGAAGAAATCTTTTCACTTAAACATACTTTGATTTCAAACTGCAGGGCACAACATTTGGTGCAACACGCCGAAGCAGATGAGTGCTCAACTACAATTTCTTGGACGCTTAAAAAGTTCAATGTAAAAAAGACGACAGCTGCTGTTGTTGTGCGTCAAGTAACTACTCGTAGGTATGCCATGCAACAGATTGAGTCCGTCAAAGACGCTCTTTCCTACCCTGTTTGTTATTGTTTCTTCTGTTTTTTCCTTTACCGTTGTGGCAGTCGCTTTAGGCGCATGCTTTGTGCTCGTAAGCGAAAATGATCTCAACTCAATTATGTTGCACGAGACAATGTAGTAACTAAAGACTCATGCTTTTTCTCCCTTTGGATGCTGCAAGCAACTGTTGCTGAAATTATTATATGCAGAAATGGTGTGCACAGCAGCTGCTGGTTGCCAAAATCTTTCAACAATGAGTATAATTACAAAGCCTTTGCGGGGCAGCGGGGTATGGAAAATTCTAGACGTTTTAGACCACACAAAAGTAATCTCCACGTTAAATGCATTTTACACCAAAATATTCTTCAATCCATCAGTGCAACATTTCCTTCGTGCTCGTTGGTGGTCATTATTGCTCAATGATTAAATTAATTGTGAGAGCTGTTAATGTAGCAAGTGTCTTAATCATAAATGAAGTGTGAAGAAAGGCGGCGAATATGCGTTAAAAATTCAATACCAGTTGGAATGGGAGAGATTTCTTGGTTTAAAGAATTTACAAATTCAACTATGTGCCCAGGCATGTTAACTGAAGATTCGAAAAGTACACGCTTAAGAAGTATGCATGAATGTGTCAAAGAATCCTCGCGATATATCTCCATTAGCGGTGACAGGCTAAGTTAGGTGTCGCACAGTGGGGTGGTTTTGATGAAAAGAGGTGCAAAAAATTCAAAATCATTTCTATCATTAAAGCAGTTTTTTTTATTAATTTTTAGAATATCTACTAATTTTATCATCATCTAAAAGCTTATGACGTGATCAAACATCACATGACCAAATCTAAGGTAACTAAATATTCATAAAGTAAAAAAAAAAATTAATAACAAAATAAAATAAATTTTAACTTAGTAAATATTGATTTACTCATTATTTTACACATGCAAAAAAAAATTATAATCACATGACTTCAGATCACATCACCGATTAATCACTAGAATTCCTTTGCAAGTAAATATATTTTCACATAAAAAGCAAAAAAATGTCAAATCCAATGAAAAAAACTCTACTTTTTTTGAGAAATTATTTTTGTTGTGCTTTAAGAATTTTTTTCCCCACCATCCATCCATCCATCCGACAAGAGATGCGACATCCTCTTAACGTACTGAATAAGCCGAGTCATGATTGGGAGTGTTTGTGAAGCGTCGAGATTTAAAACTGCTCAGCTACAGAAAAAATAATTACTCAAAAGCTGAAATTTAGTAATCATGGAATTTTTAAATTCAGTTCTTGAGAGAAGTAAGAAAAGTTGTTTGATGCTAAAAAGTGAATCTGAGAGATCGCAGGTGCTGGAATGAAAATTAAAATTGCGACACAATCGGCGAAAGGGTTCATTCAATTCATAATTTGTTTTTACATGACTAAGCATCCTTTTTATATTACAAATACATATATGTATGAGCTCCTCTGTATGATTTGAACACGAGGCAGGCAGATTTTAGCATTCAGACTACCCCTAAAAGCTACAAAGATCACAAATCGTGGTAATTACATTAAAAATAAAGTTTAGTGGATTTTTTTAGGCATCAGAATCGACGATAAAGTAAAATTAATTTTGTACCAAAATCCAAATTAAAAAATTATCATCAAAAATATTTATAATCACATGATGTAAGATCACGCGTTAGAAGTTCATATGATGACAGTTACACAGTTATAGAAAAATAAACACACGTATTGCACAAAGTTTCTAATTTGCATTAATTAAAAAAAATATATTTTTACTGATGCCATAGCCAAGCAAAATGATTAATATAAAGGAGGATGTGATCATATATCACGTGACAAAATATCATATGACAGAATAACATATAACAAAAATTGTACAAATATTTTAAAAAATTCCCACCTAGACAGTTCTTCTAAATTTAGATGCATACATAAAATAAAAAGAGGTAGGAAAGTATGATAATCACATATCACGTGATAACACTTTTTATGATTAAAATTGCATAAGATTAATTTGTTTTATTTATTTCAAAAATTCTGATTTCAGGATTAACATATTTTGAGATATATAATATGACTCACTTAATCACGTGATTAAAATCATATGATATTAAACTAATTTAAAATAGCACTCATGGCTTTTGGCGAACACCACATCAGTATATGTATTTTGATGTGTATTAGGGTTGGTCAAACAAAACTAGTATTCTTTTTTCCTAGATCTGATTCATAAAATCTTTTGCTACTTATTTATGTACATATCTCTAGAAAATTCTCAGCCATTATGAGTTTTCACTTTTATTTCTACTATTTGTCTAGAATATATAAAAATAAATTTATTTTTTACCGAATAATAACCACTGTAATTATTATCACAGTAGTGAAACATTGTTGCCACTGCATGACCAAAGTCGCCCAGCGAGTCATATTAATAGCATTCGTCGCGCTCATCAACAATCAACATACAACAGCAACAATACAGTCAAAAGCAAAGGATGATATAAATATGGAAAATAAAATACCAAAGAAAAAAGGAAATTTTTGGGAGAGGAGAAAACTAACACTAAAAAACAAAGTCCAAAGCGTAGCAGTCAAACAAGTTGAAAATTAGAAGAAGAAGAGCAAAAAAAGTCACCAAATAAACACCAACGCGCAATGTTGCTTGCAACGATACCACCACCACCACCATCGTCCTCAAAAACTGGTATTGACCAACAAGTAACTCACTGCAACAACAAAACATTTTTTTCGCTCTCTTTTTCCTTAAAAAAAAAAACAAAAAACAGAGAACACAGGAGAGCGACTTGTGCGATTATGCAGTTGGTGGTGAAAAAGTAAAACCAGCTTTGAAAAAATCAACAAAATTATCAAAGAAAGAGGGTTTGCATATTTGGTTGCGCTCTTAAATCAAACATTTTAAACTCTTAACGAAGTTTTTGCGCTCCTTTATACATTTTATTTGTAGGCAATTCATGAAAAGTCTCTGTTTACAAACCAAACAAACTCTGCATAATTATTTTGAAAGTGAGCTATATTTGTTTGCGCTCTCATCTTTGCCCTACCTTGCCCGATATTGATGCTAACTTTGTAGGTCTGTTGTTTTTTTAGGTTCTTTGATACCATAGATTTGCATGTTCTCTTGCATTGTTGTGGCTTGTTTGAGCTGAAGGTGAGCTGGAGCCCCATATGAGCGCATGTGTGGTGTATTTTTTTCGTACGTACTCATTTACTTATACCACATTTGGGTGAATTTATTTGTTCATAGCCTGTTGGCGCCTTCGGTGGGTTGTCATTATGCCTTGCCACAAGCACAGGCACTCTCAACATATGGGAGGTTTTATTAAGTGGGGTGTGTTTGTGTGGGTTGACGGCGTCTTATTTACACTGTTCGTTGTTCGCTGCTGCTTCACTGTTTTCGTTTGTTAGGTGGATTATTGGTCGTACATGCATGGATATGTGAGTATGTTGGCTGTTGTTTTTCGACTGCTTCGATTGCTGTCTGTACTCTGTTGTGCTATTGCTGTTGCTGTTGCGTCTGTTTCATATAACGTTGGCTTCAACTCCACTTAGCCATTCGTTTGGGTTGTTGTGCTCACACGTCTGGAGTGAGCGCTCATTACGTATTTGGCTCTGGTAGTGTACGTTTCGTTTTCATATAATTGACGGCGGTTCGCGTTTGTTTTCATCAACGAGCATTTCAACTCGATAGTACGTTCATTCGTCAATTAATCAACTTAATGCAAAATAAAATTTTCGTGTGCGTTAAGAAAAATTTGAAACATTTTTTTCTTGCGTGCTAAGAGAATATTTTGTCGTGTTCTTTAATTGTAAAAAATACGAGCAAAAATATAAGAATATTTGTGTTTTAAGAAATGAGATAGAAGAAGTGTATATCATGAAGCTGGTTTAAAGCAAATGGACGGTGATATATGAAGTGAATAATTTCTTGAATTTTTAAAACAAAAATATTGAATTGGAAGTGGTAAATATTGAGCTACAAAGTAAAATTGTGAAAAATGTTAGCAGAACTATTAAAAATAATAAACACGAGCTTGAAATGCAGTATAAAAAATGTTGGTGAAAATAATAATTATTGAAGAAAAGGCAAATAAGAGTCAAACAAACACATAGTCCTACATTGCGACTCAATGAAAATATCGAGTAAGCAAAAAAGTTTCAAATTAAAGTAACAATAAAACACCATTATAAAACAAGGTGGGTTAACAATAAAGCTAAAAAAATATATTGAAACTAAATATAATGAAAATCATGCGCTGAATGCCATGCCGAGAAAGATAATAAAGATTGCAACAGTGAACAAAAAAATAAATAAATTAAACCTGCAAATATGATTTATGGAAAAGTGAGCGCCAAACACTAGAGCAAAAGTGAAATTGAAAACAGAATGTGCACATAACGACAACAATTAATAAGCATTAAAGTGGAATAATCGGAATTTAGGAAAATAATTATTAAAGATTATTATTATTATTGACGTAGAGTGGCACATATAAAAATGTTTTCCTAATAATTTCAAATGTGTAAAAAATATAAAAGTTATTATACCTACTGATAATAGCGTATTGAGTGAAATTATGAATTGAATTTTTATTGAAAGAATAATACAATTTTCCAATTATTTGAAAAATAGTGAAACAATTTGGAGAAACAGATTACTACAAGTGATATTATTTTATTTGTAACTATAAAATCGATGTATTTCAAATTAACGCCAAACAAATTGTTGTAATGGAATATACATATTCAACAAATACATAGGAGACAATATGTTTCCAATTTACGGATACGTAACTTCGCTGTAAGTAGAAGGAATTAAAAAAAAAATACATATCAGCAAAGATATATTTAAGCAAATAGCAAAACTACAAATATGAGAAACTGAAATAAATTTATAATAAATGTCTAAAAAAAATAAAAACTATGGATAAACTAATAACAAACAACTTGCTGAGTTGAGATCATAATAAAATTAATTAAACAAAAATAACAAAAAAAATACATATAAATTTATATACATATATGTATACTATATTTAAATAAGTATACATTCGTATATATATTTAATACATTAGTAACAAAGTACATATAGCACTAAAATGAGTTAAATAAAATGCTGATTAAAAAGAAAGAAAAGTTATTTTAATTTTCAAACTGAAATACAATAACAAAAAAGGTTTCTAAAGAAATAATGAATAAATTTAAAATATTATAATTGGAAAATCATTACCATAAACCATAAATTAAAAAACTAAAATCCCCTTCTACAACGAATCGATTAATAAAATATTATTTAAGTATCTGCTATAAAAATGCTATAAATCACACCAAAAAAAAAAAAGAAGATATTTAGAAAAATTTGAAGCCCTTTAAATCAAGAAAGAATTTAACCAAAAAAAAAAACCCGCATTGGCCTCTTTCAAAGGGAAACATCTCTACATTTTAGCACTCAAATTCGTAACACTGAGTAGGAAAAAAAGTTTCAAGTGGGCGCCGGCCCTCATCAGATAACATGGCACACTCATGTGTGTTTTTAGGCTAACTAAAATAGCGTTTTAGAGCACAGCATGGATTTTGTTGCAAGCACTTACAGGTCTGCAACATGAGTATATACTTCAAAAAAATATATGTACGTAAATATGTATCACATATCATAAGTGTGCAATAAGAGCCGCTGAAAGAGGCAAGTGTGTACCCCCCCAAAAGATTCAAACATACAAGCATTTGTAATTAAATACATTTTGCCTACATATAGACATACAAACATTTCTCAAAATGTTGCTGATAAATAAGCGGCCCGGGTCAGCACGCATAGCTGACCTGCATTAATACGTATGTACATACATACATAAATATTTACATATGTATGTGTGCAATATGGAGAATGCTGCTGCAGGTGGCATATCTATATATGTATGTAATGCAACTTGAAAGTTACCAAGCATTTAATTTTCTCTGTCTTTGCTTAAAATAATAAATTAAACATGAAATTTTTTAATTACACTAACTACGATAATTAAGAGGTATAAAATGAAAAGAAAAAACTGTAAATCGTAAATTTAGAGAAAAAAAAATTCAAAATTACAGCATTTTAATGGCCACTAAAGATTGTGTGGTACTTCCACTGCCAATTATGTGTCTGCAACACTTTTAGCATCTGCTGTGTCAGCAAAGAAAAAGAGAGAAAAAAATACAAAAATTAACCAGATAGCCTGTGACAGCTTTTTTCTTACTGCCTGCCTATGCGAAAAGTAAATATTTTTGTTTGCATCCAAAAATTGCATGCTACAAATTGGCATTCACTCTTTTAGCAATTTACAAAATACACTATACATACGCTTTGCTCTGTACCTTGCTCTGCATTTCGCCAGCATACTTATGAGTAGGCATTTGTGAAGGCAGTAGCAGCAGCAGCAGCAGTGGCAGCAGCATATGTTTGCTGCTCTTGATGTAAGGAAAAAAAAAACTTAAACTCAAAATTGTCTGCAATTATATTGGCATGCTGTTTGATATGTTGTTGTTATTGCTGTTGTTGTCGCCACTGCTGTCAATGACTGTCATTTAAGCTTTTGCCGCCCATTACACTCTACACACAGCAATTTTTTCATTATTATTTTTCCCATAATTTTTTTTCTCTCGAATCTATGTACACTTATTTATTAGCTCCTTTTGATTTTTGTACTTTTCTTGCATTTTTGCACGTCTTCAGTTGCCGTTCATCGCCTTACCACTTTTTCTTCTTCTTTTTTTTTGCAATATTTACTTGTCGTTATTGACAGCAATCAGCAGCAACCAACATTTGTCGCATTGCTTGTTTTTTTTCTACGTTTCTGGTTGCTTCTCTTCCACGTCTGCAGGTCTTGAGTAGCGTTTTAGTAAATTTTAGTTATTTCGCTGGCTTTGCTCTTGCTTGAATTTCGAACTTTCAATATTTGCGTGCTTATAGCGTTCAGCACGTAATTTGGGGTTTTCATATCTCATATATTTCTACAGTATTTCTGTAAATACTAAAATTGTTATATAATGCATATTACGACCTCTTTTCTTATAAGATGAGTTCGATTAAAATCTTATTTATTTAAATTGGTATTTAATTTTTAAAATTTTATTTTAATCAAATGCTTAAAAACCGTAATATAAATAAATATATACGAGTATGAATTAAAAAAAGAAAATAAATTAGTATTTTAATAAATAAATGAATTAATTATTATTTATATATAAATAAATAAACAGATAATAAAATTATTTAAAATTAATTATGAATACGTACAGATTTTAAAAAATTAATAAACAATTTAATAATTAAACAAATATACAATTAATTAACGACAATATTAAAATAAATCAAATGAGTAATCATTTTTATATAATATTAAAAACTAGCTAACACACAAGTAAATAACTAATAATAACTAAGTAAATATTAAATTAATTAACTAATGTTATTTTATATACAAAAACAATAATTGCACCGGTTAACTATTTTAAAAAATTTAAATAAAACTCAACAGCTACAAAAAAAATAAATAAATAATTAGTTTATTTGCAAATGAACAACTAAATAGAAAATTAGATGAATTTTCAAAAAAAAAAAAATATATATATATATAGGTTAATAAAATATGCAAGTAATTAAAACAATATTTTAGTAAATAAATTATTTTATTAATAATATATTAAAAAAAATTATAAGTAAGTAAATATTTAATTAATGTTAATTTATAATTAAAAACCCATAATTAGACCCCTTAATTAATATTCCAAATTAAAATGCAACAACCACAAAAGTAAATAAATAAATAATTATTTTCTTTGTAAATAAATCATAAAAAAAAAAATTAAAATAAAAATAATATAAAAAATTTTATATAATTAAATAAATAAACGAATAAATAAGAAAACAACAATAAAAAGTATATTTTAATAAATAATAAAACAATTTTTTTAATATAAAAAATATTTAAACAAACAAAAAAATATATTAATAAAAAAAATAAAAAAATTAAAAATCAGTATTCATTCACTGGTAGTACAAAAAAAAAGTTAAGTAATAGACCAAGATACATATATGTATATGAGAAAAAAATTCAATCTTTTTTTCTATAAATAATAATAGACATGAAAAAAATTAAAAAAATATAATGTAGGCATGCAAATTAATTTAATTTAAAAAATAAAAACAAAAAAGCAAATAAATAGATATTTAAATGATTTAAAAAATTGTTTTAACAAATAAATAATTAAACAAACGTAAAAATAATTAAATTATGAATAAGTAAATAAATGTATATAAAATAAAATTCAACTAAAAAAATAAAGTTTAATAAGTGAATAAGTAAAAACTAATAAAGCAGTATAATGAAAAAGTTACATAATATTATAAATTAACAAAAAAAAAAATAAAAAATTAATAATGGAACAAATAAAAGAAAAATAACGAAATTATTTAATAAATAAATTAGTTAAGACTACTTAATATTTATTTTATTTGTAATAATTGATAAACATAAACTATAAAATGGAAATAATTAAAAAGTAAATGATAAATAAATAAAAAACTAACATTAAAAATTGCATGAAACAGAAACACATAAGTCTATTTTTCATAGCTTCATAATTAAATACTCAACTTTAGCTTAAACAAATTGTCGGAAAATTTTTTTAAATCAGTAAACAATAACTTGGCGATTTTTCTGATGCCGAATAAATAAGATTTCCTTTGAGGGTGTATTTTTTATACTTAATTGTGTTCATCTTTAAGAAAAGTCTTTTATTTTTAATTTTTGCACATTTAAAGTTATTAAAAAAAAAATCATAGAAATCTATAATATTGATGATTTTTTCTGCACATGTAGAGAGTAAATTTAATAAAAAATGCTCGAATTTGGAATTTTACATTGATTTATTTAAAAAGTAGTTATGTCTAAATTTATTTAAAGTAATTACTTTTTATAATTGATGGCCTGACTTTTATGACGCACAGTTCATTGTGTAGCATTCGATAAAAGAGCGATTGAAAAAAAAAATTTATACATTTAGGCATATCTCAAATATAAGAATATGTCGCAACATATATGTACATACATACATACATATGTACATAAATACTGTTATTGAACACAAGACAATCAACATTAAAACCATAGAAATGTTAATCTACATTAAATTGGCTCAAGACATCACTCACATAATTAATTCTTTCGATTATTGCTGCCAAAAGAAATGGCAAGAAACAGCTTGCCGCCATTCTTGCCGTCAAGCATGCCGCCAATCAGCCTGTCACTCTTGCAAATACATACATAAGTCAAAAAAATCGGTCAAACGCCAATGACAATTAATTATTTGCATAGCAATGGTCTTTACCACAACTGGGAGCGTGAAATTTAAACAAATTAAATGAATTGTTGCTATACAAATAGTTAAATGTCAAGACGAATTGTTCATTAGCGGCAGTAGCTTTTCAAAATATTTTTCTACTCAATATTTTATTGTTTCATTTATTTATTTTTTTTATTAATTATTATTATTAATTTTTTTAAATTTTTTTTTGGCTTTGCTCTTCTTGCCTTTGGGTCAAGTAAAAAAAAATAGCTTAAAATTTTCAAAGCTTTCATTTGTGTTTATTGCTGCTGTGCGGGGGCGGGGGCGGTGGAAAGGAAAAGTGTGCCAGATTGATTGACTCAATAGCTTTATAGGCGCACAAAAATGTAAATTTGTTTAAATGAAAATAGATTGTGGCACTTAATAGAAATGGAAGATGTTGTACATATCTATATAAAAATACCAGAAAATTAAAAC